AAAAAAAAGTCACGAAGCACCTTGTCTCAGCAGACCTTTTGAAGCCAGGAGTGGATGCCTGGTGGGGACCTCAAGAAATGGCTTGAGGCTCTGGAGGAGGGAGGGCTGGGCTGGAGAGACTGGGCGTCGGGAGTCCTGCAAAGGGGGGGGGGTCACAGCAACCTGGACCCCCACATCAGTATTTCTGCAGTAGGATACAAGTTACCCAATTGGTGATTGAATTTATCCAAGATTACCCATGCCTGTGACCCATAGCTGTAGTCACCAGGCTTGTTTTTCCCCCTTGCAGAATCACCGCACCCTAATCCTTTAAAGCTACTCTAAGCCCAGAAATGAACCTAGTTGATAAGGTAAAGGGAAGCAGCCTGACCTTATACCAAGGAAGCAGGCTCAAAGGGTTCCAAGAATGTTTTCAGGCAAAGCATCCTTAAAGAATCTTAGAGATCACCCATCTGAAAGGATATCTCAAGCCCCAGCCCATGGCTCCAAGCCCAGACTCAGGGACTTGGTGAGTCTTTCTTGAGCACCCACAGTTTATTCCTCTCTGAATGTGCACTATTACCATTCTACTTAATTAATCTGCCAGGCCCTGTCTCGGGTGTGTACTGAAATTCTTTTCTTCTTATGAGGGTGGACAAACGAGCTCCATGGAGGGCATGAGTTGGGTTCCCCAACTCCTCTTTCAAGGACCTCCTTGGAGTCTGCCTCATGGTATCCTATCAAAGTGCCATGCACATACATGCATGCATGTGTGTGTGTGTGTGCACATGCATGGGTGCTCATATGTGTATGGGCACCTGTGGGATCCCAGCCATGCAATTAGCGGTTGATGAGTGGTTGGTGTGGTGCAGTCAGAGTTAGGAGGCTGCAGAGCCAAGGGCCACAGAACAGGACTCTAGATGAAGAGCAAGAGCTGAATTTTGTAGGCTGAAGCCCAACCCATAGGATCTTGGAAAAGGATGTATGTGGAGAGAGTGCAATTTAAGAGGTGACTGAGGTCAGTAAGAGGGGCCCTGACCCTAAAGGACTTGTTCTTATAGGAGGAGGTTAGTAAGAGGGCTCCATAGGAGGACACAGCCCTCTGAAAGCCCAGGAGAGGGGCCTTGGGAGAAGTCAGCTTTGACCACACCTGATTCACATTTCATGACTGCAGGACTATAAGAAAATAAATCTCCACAGCATGGCAGCATCATGGTTCCTGGATGTGTGGCATTGGGCTACGGAGGAAGCTGAGGGAAACACTCCCTGAAAGGCCCAAGGCCTTTGTAGGAAAAGCCAGGCTGGGACAATTGTCTTTGTGTCTGTTCCCCTTGGGCTGTCCTTAGTGGAGGTGGGAGGGTCCCAGAGGATCCCAGATTTCCTCCGTTGGGGGTGGGGGAAGAATGGGGGGAATGTGTTGAGAATTGGAGAAAACATCTACTAAGAGATTGTCACTTTGTATCCATTGTCACAAAGCCTTGAAAGGGGCTCAGGGGCTGTAGCATTGGGGTCAGCATTGTGGAGACAGAGGGCACTGGAGTGGCGAGTGGTAGCCCAGTGTCCTGTGTGGCCTCTCACTCCCACCAGAGGTTTCCCGGCCACCTCGCTAGAACCGAGCACTTCCGCCACACCCCAGGCTCCACACATCAGTGGCATAAATTACTGTTATGGAGGAGAGCAAATCACATCAGAAGAAATTTTTAAACTCAGCAAAAATGGCTCATATCAGTGGGTTCGACCTGTGCTGCTGTCATCTGACGACTGTGTCCGGGCACAGTACTTCTGCTGCCCTGAAGGACTCAGCTCACTCATTGCTGAGTCTTAATTTTTTGAGACATTCATCAGCAAGGAAATCGATGTCCTGTTTCGCCAGTCACTGAGGAGCTCGAGTGGAGATCTTTATTCCTCCCAGGCGAGCTCATCCAAGAAAACAAATGTCCTTGCGTTCATTTTGCACCCGGGAACTGCACATATTTTTAAAAAACAATATGCATGTTCTTACTGTCAACACTTTGAAGGATATTTCACAATTACTTCGTGGCACTATTCAGTCGGGCCATTTTCTCTAAAATATGACACTTGTCAGACAAGTCAGCTGAGACTCCCTACAGTATCTCATGTCATTCAGCATTGTTTTTCCATCTGAAGCTGGGACAGTTGAAGGAGACAATGAACAAATACTTGCTGTCAGATGTTTTCTGATGAAGGCTGTGCTGGCTTGTTAATTGAAGCAGCCACCTATCTGTGAGATTCAATTACAATGGTGGATCAATGGCAGCCTTCTGCACCGTGATGAATGTGTGGTCTGTGTGTCACCCTCAGCCCCGCTCTGACTTATGGAGTGTGGTCCCCCTGCTGGAAGCAGCTGCTGCTCAGCCCAGGGATGGAGCTCAGTGTTTGGAGGGATCTGCAGGACATGGGCCAGGCCTTGCCCTGAAATCACCCTTAGAAGAGCAAACAGATGCCAGAAGGGTCAGTGAAAAATCAAAGAGGGTGGAAAGATAAATCTGTCCACCCACATAAAAGTCCACTGGCCCGACGACAAGAGTAGGATAAAGGTGAAGGCCAGATAGGGAGATCAGTGTCCCGCTCTGGCTCTGTGCCCAGTCAATACTATCAGGCCCTACTTTATAGAAGATAAGGCTGTATTTTTCATCCCACAGAACAATGACAAATGTCTTGTTGGCACAGCTGGACCAGAGCCCAGAGTTAAAGGATGGAATTTAAAAAAATTGTTTTTTTCTATTTTCTTTTCAGTACTGGGGATTGAACTCCATGCCTTTGTAAAGCTACATCCCAAATGCTTGTTACATCTTCTTTTAATTCCTCTTTTTGGTCAAGGGGCTCACGAAGATACTACATTGCCCAGGCTGGGCTCAAACATGCTGTATCCGCCTGCCTCAGCCTCTGAGGATGCTGGGATTTGGGGGGGGGGTGTCATCACGCCTGCGAAGGATGCCCCTTAGAATCTAGCATATATGTATACAGTTTGTACTTAATCAGCTGGGAAACTTACTCCTCCAGGGCCTCGGTTGCTTCATCTATAAAACAAGAGTTTTGTAAGGCCTCAGGTAGCACCCGCCACGTGGGAGGCGTGCCTGTGTGTGGCAGTTCTTGTCCTTAGTATAATCTCTAGTTTACAGTCATGTGAGTAGTGTGAAATCTCCTATTCTTTTGGTCTGGCCACTAGGGTCCTGTGATCTTCTTTGGGACACTCCCTGAATCTTGTTTACAGTTTTATTCTCATTGCCGAAGCGAGGTCATGGTAGGTACCCAGCAAAGACCAGAATGGGTGGGCTGAGGAGAGAGGGCAGGAAAGAGGAGAGAAAGAAAGAAGAAATGTGAGATGAAGACTCTGGAGGACACGCCTTCTGAATGACCCCATGGTTTGGGCTCTTATTTTTCCGCGCTCCAGTGCAGTTCGTGTTCACAGATGACCTTCAGCCAGGTCAGTGGACAGACCTGCTCTACTCTTTCCGCAGAGCCATCACCTGGGACAGGTGAGCTGAAGATAGCTGTAGATCCTCAGATAAACTACAGCGAAGCCTTTCGGAGCCTATGACTGCAGAAGTTCTGTCTCAGAGTGCTTTCTGGAATGTTCACGATGGAATTCCTTAAAGCCACCTTAGGAACAAGCTGGATGCTTGGAAGCACGCCTACAGGCCTCTTATACCAAGGGCTGTCTTTTCTTGCCCTGTCTTTTAATTTGAAGTCTCAGAAACTCATGATTAGAAGAGGAGGTCTCATCCCCTTTGGTCTGCACAGCTTCTAGGCCAGGATCTCTGCTTCCATTGACATTCCCAACATATAGTTCCAAAATTGCCTGACACAAGTGTCCATGGAGATATCTGGCTGTGGTTCTCAATGTGATAATTAAAATGCACTTTCAAAACTAAGAGGTGTAAATTATAATTTTTAGTGTAACACACACTTTTGCAATCCATGCCGTACAATCATCACACTCCAGTGTAGCTAGTTGACCCGTGCTCCTCCTAAAATATATCCAAACTGGAGCTCCCATTCCTGTGACCTCAATTGGAAATAGGCTTTAGCAGATGTAATTAAGGATCTGAAGATGAGATCATCCTGAATTTTGGGTGGATCCTCAGCACAATGACTGGTGTGCTTTTCAGAGAAGAAAGGAGATTTGGTCCACAGAGAGATACCGAGGCTAAGGC